GGTCGAAATATCACGCTCCTTACAGATCACAAGATTCTGCTAGCAGTATTCGCTTCCAAATCTGGCATTCCAGCCTATTCCGTAAATCGTCTTCAGCGATGGGCCTTGGTGCTATGATTTCGAAACCCAATATCGACGCACTGTACGATTTAGTCAAGCAGACGCTTTGTCACGACTTATTATTGATCAATAGGCGGCTGAGGAAAACATGGTAGTCGCATCTCTGTCAGTAGAAGACCACGCAGAATGTTATTTGACAACCGTAATACGGGCATTACCAGTGTCTGCAACAGGCATACAAAGTGTTTCTAGAAACGACTCCGTCATCAAGATGACGATGAAATATGTCATTATCGTTCGGCCGTCGAAGAAGTTTGAGGGTGACATGAAGCAACTGTTTCAGCGGCGGGATTCACTATGCATCGTGAAGGACTGTTCGATGTTTGATAAAAGAGTAGTGGTGCCAGAATCCCTTCATTTAAAAGTGCTGAAACAGTTCCATCTTGGTTCATAGCCAGGAGTTATGCATACTGGTCTCTCATGGATCAGCACGACACAGCGTTCGTTGAAAAATTTATGCGGTGTCAGCAAGCGGCAAAGGTGAATACCAAAGTTCCGAAAGTTTTATGGCATAAATATAATCATCAATGGTCCAGGATACATGTTGAATTGTCTGGTCCAATCAATGGAACTATGTAGTTATTTGTCGTCGACGCCTTCTCAAAATGGCCAAAAATCAGTGCAGTAATGCCACCCACGACTACTAAGACAATACAATATTTTCTCGAAATGGCATACCAGATAAGATCTTATCTGACAATGGGTCTCAATTTAACTCCACATAATTCCGAACTTTCTGCCAACGGCTAGACATTAAGCACTTATGCTCGCCACCGAACCTCCCGCAAACGAGTGGGCAAGCGAAAAGGTTTGTGGATATGTTTAAAAGAGTATTAAGTTAAGTCAAAATGGGAGGGGACACAAGCGGATGCGTTACAAAATTTCTTGTATGTCTATTGAACAACACCAAATGAGTTGTTACCGGAGCAAAAGTCCCCAGCAGAAATCCTGATGGGAAGAAGATTGAAAACGATCCACATCCTGATGCATCCAATCACTACACCAACATCAGTAAAGACAAAGTCGGAAAGGCAATCTTATTACGAAGTGGGATGTCCTGTGTTTGCTCGTGACTACAGAACAAATCATGGTCCCTGGGTAGAAGCGAGAGTGATCAGAAGAGTTGGGCGAGTTATGTACGAAGTAGAGGTCGGAGGTGAAAGGTGGTCACGCCATCGAAATAAGATACGCAAACGGCTAGCTCCAGGTCGTCTATCAAGAGCGGAAAATCTTTCCCTTGACATCTTGCTTGATACCTTCAACCTGCCAGTGGCCTCTTAACGAGAAGAAACTCAGTCACAAGCTGATCTCCGTTTCCGAAGGTATCCTTTCAGACAGCGGCGAACAACAGTCAAGATGCGATTCGACCCCGGGAACGCACGCTATTAAAAAGGGGAGGAGTGTTGGGGATGTTAGATCCCCAGAACTCGCTTGATAAAAATCTTTATTTCGGATTTATTTCATGGAGCGATCAGTTGACCTTGAGATCATATTTCCCACTAGGAAAATCCTTGGTCGTGATTGGTTACTGTGCCATTTTAGTGTGCTATTTTTTGGATAAATAAAAGCAATTTGAGTGCCTGGACTCATTGTGTACTGGCTGGGTGTTTTAGAATACACTTTCTACGCTATATCAAGACTTCTTACTGATTCAATTTGGTCAAGGGATCACAGTAGCCTACCTGGACGTTGATTTATTGTTTGATCTCGTTATACGTCTAAGGTGAACTCGTAACAGTTTAAGCATATCTAGAGACGAGCGTAACACCTGCACATTTTCAGTACATTCAATCCGCAAACAATTAATATGTAATGGATGTATTCATCAGAGTAATTAGTTTGGAATGAACATGAACCAGTAACACAAACTTCACCATTTAATATGCAAATTAATTAAATGTTTCATATTTAAAACTGATGAGGCGCTAATTTTTTTACATGTTCACTTAAATCAACCATGATACAGCTTCTAATTTATTCAGTTAGTATAATTATGTCGGATTTATAAAATCAGTATAATGGCAGAAGCACTGTATTTACACCATTCTAATAAATCTATCTAATTTTTGTTTATTCTTCAGTGAGAATAAACAAGTTTTAACCAGAAGGAGAATTGTAGTCAGCACATGTTGAATAATTTCACTTGTTAGGAATTTCATTATTTAAGTCACGATGGCGATGAAATAGTTCATCTAACCGTTTATATAAACATTTGCAAACTCATTAGCATAAATACAGATTGAGAGATGTGTAATATGTCAAAATCGATTCAGTTTTTTAAGGTTTCCTAATTTATTTCTCAGTAATAAGTAAATTAAAACGCACTCTATGAAAATTTCATCATGAAATTGAAAAAATCGAATTCCATAAGGATGCAGCACAAACAGATAGAATACATTGTTGTATCGATTGTCTTTCTACATTTTAGATAATTGTAGGAAAACTGTAAGAGCCTCTCTAAAAACTTGATTTTTTATTATTTGCTAATTGTCAGAAAAAATTTTTCACCAACTTAAGATTGTCTATTCATCAACTGAGTGTTTAAAGTAAATGTTGACTAATTTCTAAAAATTTTCTTCAACCGTTTGACATTAAAAGAGGTTTTCTGTGATTATGTTTTCAATTAATTCAAAATAAAATGACAATGTTGTAACTTATTCATAAGTTAAAAAAAATTCCAGTTTGTTTAAACAAATTAAAGAGAATCAATACCTCATAATTAATTGGAATTTTCTTTATAAATAATTTTATTTCCATTTAAACGGATGATTTGTATTGTTCAGTTGAATGTTTGCACATTTTGTTTCTTGTTATTTTATGGAAATAATTTTATAAATTATAATTATATATTTAGCATTTCAGTTGATTTACACTTGAGAAGATTGACATTCAAGAATAATAATGTCATATTTATTACATAGTAGTTTAGAATAAAAATTCACTAGGAAACATGATCAATATTTTGGTTGATGTTGAAATATCAACTTTTTGAATTATTTCCATGTACTAATCAGTCGATGACATGTTGAAGTTTATGTAATTTATTAGTGTAATACACTTCACACACACACACTAATCTAATGACACATTTATACATAAAAAAAATAATTCATTGAACAATGAAATAAGTAAGAGAAGAATAAAAATAATAAGAAAAAGTAAATGCATTATCATATCATATCACAATTATAATCAAATCCTCTATGAGAAATCATAAACTATGAATGGTTAGTTGAATAAACTTGGCATTTTCTAAAGCTAAATCAATCTTACGTGAGATAAGGAGAAGACTGATAAGCTCTCTTTCGAAGACATTTTCAACAATGAAATCAATGATTCAATGATCAATCATATTATATGTTCTATAAAAATAAGAATTCATTTACAAATATAAGTATGCATAAATTTCAATGTAGATTGTATCATAAGGGTACATGTTATATTTTATTTGTCAAACTCTGGGCGAATAAATTAATAAGTTGGGCGCACTATGTATTCATTGGATTTTTCAAAAAGTTAATAAACATAAGATAATTCAGCAACCTTCATCAGTGACTAACAGTAACTGACAAAGACCAATACACCTGTGAAAGTTGAATAGTTACTTTGTCTTATCTACATGTTTTTCTTCAGCGCACAGCGAATGCACTATTTCGGGCTGGCCTATACCTAGGTCAACATATTTTAAACTATTATATTGAAACAAAACTTCATGCATTTTAAAGTTTACTCGCTTCACGATGTAATCCCACTGCTCAGCGACTGCTATCTGCCTGGATTAGTCAGATTACAGAAAAGGGTAATTTCACATGTAGTTATTTCTCATTATAACCCAACTTACAACTACTCAGTAGTGATTACACGTTTCAGTGTTGATAAAGCACATTAAAGCAGTGATATATATGGAAAAATGAAACTTTATATCATGCTTTCTGGTTTTCTCTCGTTAGCCAAAACTGATTTCAACACATACACACTAGGCCGAAATAGCTGTTCTTTCATTTCAGGTGTTCATTGGTGATTCAGCTAAGATCATTTGCCGATCCATAATATGAAAATTTCACAAATCTTAACCATCATGTCTATTATATCATATTCTGTTATCTTTACAAAGCACATGTTTGCGTGGGAAAATAAACGTAAAAGAAGAGTTATCAAACAATTCATTCAACATTTATAGAAGATATAATTGAATGATTTCATTATCACTTGGTATCAAACACTTCGATGAATGTAAGATGTGGAAAACTATGTTCATCAGTACGGACACAGAATTGAAATGGGCCAAACAACCAACATCCATACAACCTCCATACGATATTGCATAGAAATTTCAAAGAATAAATTTATTGTTTTGGCTTTCTGGCTAGTTGGAAACCCGAATCTATTTTTTGGGTACAGCAACAGTTTGTATTAACCTTGACACGGCTACGATAATAGCTTTAAACTATTTCATAATCTGTGATATGACAACAATAATATATTTATTCATTGTTTTATTTAAAATTACTAGTTTAAACTTATTCAACATTTTAAACAATCAGCCTTATTTAATTTTCACGTATATTGATATCTTAAGAAGCATAAATGTGAACAGTTTGTTTGAAATGTATGACTCACATTGTATTTTTTAGATCAGCCTTGTCTTCCTATTACTAAATCAAAATGTATGGAACGAACTAAGTGCTTTATATTTTGTAATGGAATAGCTTCTACACATGACGTGCGAATTATACAGAAATTGCTATCACTGTCAAATAACTAAACCAGACAAACTGACCAATAAACACGTTAAGATTAATTTACATTTAAACCAATCAGTTTCAAGCGTTTTCTGTAATAACTTTTATAAGTTAAGCCGTCTAATTATTGGTTACCAATTTTATGCACATTTTCTCATCAATCACAACTTAGGATAATCTAAAAGTCGTATTTTTGGTGTTATTATCTAATACTTCATTCATCAATATTATCAACAAAATGTGATGCAGTTACCTATACCGATAAGCTGGAATAACGAACATAAAATTCCAACTGAACAATTCAATAACGATTCAATTTCAATTAGAAAGATAAAAACATCAATCACTAACAACTTTAATCCAACTATAAAATTATTCAAAGTGAACATTTTCATAATGGATAATTTAGAAGAAGGTAATATTGAGACAGTCAAATCCAACGGTCCATCAAATCCAAGTGAGACACAGCTATCATCAAAGAGTTCAATAGTTCCGCTATCTCATTTAACAAACCCAAAACAATCTAAAACCGATCCATTAGGTCTTGTTATTGCAAAACGTAAACGTAAAGAAATGGCTGATCCACAAATAGCGGAAGCAATATTATCTGCGTCAAAATTACCCCCGCCTATTGTACCAGAAACTACAAATTCAGTGGATGTTCCAGAAGAATTGTTACAAATACTAGCATTAGCTAAAGATTATGATAAACATGACACTGCTAATGTCGAATTTTTCAAGAACTACTCACTTACAATTCCTAGAAAACCAATAAACACTCAAGTAAATAATGTGACCTATGCAAAACGTAAACGTTTATGCAAGCTGTCATCATTAAAAAAGTATTTCATAACCAAAGATTTTATGGAGGACACTGAAGAGACTCGAACTTTAGTACAGAATACTGTTCATACAGATGAAGAATGGTTTATGGAAAGTTTTCTACATGTTTTATGCATTTTACTGATTATACTTACACTACCGTTATCTCTGATATTTTGTTTAAAAGTGAGTTATTCGTTTGATCATTTTTATATAATGATAACAAGCACCGAATCGAAACAACCGTGGTACAATTGATTTGTATAGAAATTCCCCTTAGTTACATTCTTGAGATGATTACCCAAATGACCTCAGTCGAGTTTACTGTTTAAGACGAGAAAACTGAAGTTTCTTATCATATTTCATTATGTTCTAAGTAAAATGCTTATAACGTTGCATATTTACCAGCTTTCCTTCCGCTTATGATCTTAGATTTTTTCCCCTAATAAAACCTTTTGTTCAAAATCAATATAAAACGATATTCATCAACCGTTTTGCTTTAACATAAATTTAAATGATTTCATTAGGAGAAAAAGCGAAATAACATCTTTCATTTGACAACAAACAAGTTTAAAGCATTTGAAAATCACTTCATAAGAAAATTCATATGAATAAACATGACATTGGATTAAAATTCAATTTATGTATACAGACGAAGAGAATTTGCTTTTTCAAACTTTTAGCAAAAAAATAAGTTTGTTAAGATAGGTATTGGTTTCGTATACCTTAACTGTAATCAATTGGTGGTTGATGGATATTGAGTTTCGTAAATAAAAACAATAATTATTTGGGATTTGAGTCAAAAGTATTTGAATCTACCACTGTTAACTACGTACAAGCAACGAAGTAAAATTCAAACAAATTATCAGTATAGTGGTTGGAAAAATTGTTCAATGTAGGTGAGATCACGAATCTTTCTAAGCTAAAAGACCATTGAAAATCTGAAAGCAATGGACACATGTCCTCTACGGAAGTATAACTTAGGTCAATTCGTGACTATCATATAACTTACACTGTTACTGTTGAATTCAGAAAACCTCTTTTGAAGATATAAATATGAATATTTAGTTTTAAACCTTACAACTGTCAAAAATGTTAAAATGCATAGTTCGACGCATTTGTAGGGAGTCTAATAAATCACCAATCAATACTTAAATATGCTTTTCAATGGGAAAATTCCTTGATATACAAACAACTAATATTTCCCGCAAGTATTAATTCATATCATAATCCTATCATACTTAGTTTTGAATAAGCTGTCATTACTAATTTTATAAAGTTGACTTGACATCTAATCGTTCGTAAATATGACTGTTTGTGTAAAATATCTTTTTTTAAACAGTTTCATATAAAGTTCAGGAATGATATATAAGTATGTATTAAACCTGATACCTAATTTCTAAATACTGTATTGAAGCGCTTTGTCCATGGTACAATTCTATAGTTAGGTTTTAAAGTAAATTTGTTTAATCCTTAGTACAAATAGAATTCTACCAGCCAACACGCAAACTATGTGGTGGACATGAGAATTGTGAACTAGGTTTCTTGCTACCTCTGCGGCTCTCCAGCAAACCTTAATTACAATCCTTGGTAAACTTATGCTTCCTATGGAAATCAAAGCCTTCACACTGAACTTCAAGGTGTGGGATGTTAACGTTGAACTATTGACCTCAAAGTTGACTTACAATATAGTAATAAGGAAGAAAATGAAATTAGTTTGTAGGATACCACCATAATTATGTTGAAGTTCCGTTCTTTTAGGCGGATGTTTTGGGTGCGGGATAATGAATCATACGTGGAGATATCCGAATACTTCACTTCTACCCAAAGTTTGTATTGATAATGTGGTTCAATGAGAGCAATGAAAGCTTCACAAAGAAAACATCCGATTGAGAGAATGAAACTGCACTATCGTCAGACTGAGTAACAAGCTCTTTCAAGCAACACCACAGTATTTATTACCAATGTGTCTTCCCTTTAACTTGCTATGATGATAATTTAAAGATCATTAAATTTTGGAATATTTAATGATTATGAATTATTTAATATGATTTCATCATTAGAAAAAACGACAAAGAAACCTAAAAATGCATTACGCTTTTGTAAACTGTCTATGAAGTAAAAAACAATTTTAAGAAACATCCTTCCGTTGTAAACAGTGTTCTTAAAGGTATAATGATCATTGTTGACACTATAATTGAGGTCAAAATCAGATTTTGCATTAGTTGACACTGTTAATCATTAATAGTACAATTTATAATTTAAAGAAATAAGGTTCATAACTATGTGAAGAATGACATATATTTTTTTACATTAATAAATAAATAAATGTTATTATTTGTAATGAAAATAGTTCTTACTTCAAACAAATCTTAATGATTTCATCATGAAGTATATTTATCAAAGTAAATTAAAGGTATGTGGACAAGTATGACGTTTTCCGTTTTACTTCGTTAATCATGATATTAACACGACTGATTAAGCAAAACTGTCTATCTATTGCATTGTAAATTATATGTTTCGACAAGTCCACTAGTGTAAAATTGATAATGAACAGTTAGAATGACGATGTTGATTATAATGTATATACATGCATTTGGCATTCTTATCAAAACAATGTTATCAATGATAGATTCAGTCATGATAAAATGACCGTTCCATTTTTAGTTGTAAAAAGTGAAATTTTCGTTCAAATCTGAAAAGTATATATTTATTTAAAAGATACTGACAGATAAGAAGAGGTATAAATTTCGAAATAAGTTTCTATTGACAACAAGTTAATGGTAACAAGTTGATTTTTTAAATAGGACTAACATATCGTAATTATGAAATTTCTCCATAACATTGTCGTGTTTTGGGTATATAATGCGGATTCAATAATTGTAGGTTACTGTTAAATGGTTTTTTTTTCAACGATAATTAATTTTACATACCCTCAACATATGTGTACTCGACATTGTCATACAGGAGATTATTCATTCACAAAATTTCTCTATAACATAATTAAGAAAACAATTCAATAATCAATACATGAGTAAATATCAAAGAGTTCATTATTCTAAGTCATGATTTACACATTAATTCTGCTCTAATAATATTGTATCTTTTATTTTTTTTTTACATTTTGTTTTTTCCAATCATAAAGCAAGTGATCTCACAGTGATAATAATACTGAATAAATATCTTTATTATTGAAATAATGTAATGTCCTTACTCTTATAGAGATGCGGTGCAACCCCTAACCATCAACTTGTTAATTTAGAAAAAAAAAATTACACAAATGTCAATTCAATCACAACACACAATTATACACTAATGATTTTGAGCTCTAATTTTCTTAGAACACAACTGAATCATTTTACAAACCATATTTAACTGTATGTAGATAAAAAGTATATAAATGGATAAATAATACAGTCAATTATGTTTGAATGACAGTGTCCTTCTTTGAATGTAAAATTCATTGTTCAGACGGAAATAACAAGATACAATGAATTTTGCATAAATATTGACATACAGTTTATCTGTTGGGCTGTTTTGAAATTTTGATTCATTTGACAATGAATTTTATTTTAATATTGTATTCCAGCATAGTTATACTTGAATTTAATACTGACTTTGTAAAAGAAACCACTTACCTGAAAATATAATCCATTTGAAAGCGCATTTGATTTATACATTAATTTTATGTATTGTAATAAGTAATTTCAGTTAACAATAAAAAGTGATATTCATGTTTCTTAAGATGAACTCACTTACCATTTTGTCATTTAATGTTGACTAAGTACACTCAAAGTTATTTCATTTAACAAAATACAGTAAATTTAATTCTATTCTGTTAAGATATAAGTTACAAATAATAAAAAGATCAGTTTCCTAAATGAGTTTGAAAATCATGATAAAGACTAGTCACATGTAACTTAACAGTAATTCATCTAGTAGACTGACTGATCTACAAGTACCTAGTGAAAAATATTTCACTGGATTCAAATAAAAAAATAGACTCTTTCGCTATTTTTTGAATTCAAACGTTTTCCATAATAATAATAATAATAATACACCGTCTGGAGATAGATGAGAAGATTTTTCCGATTGAGTTAACTGCAAAAAATATTTGATTAATGTATGTTAAATTTCTATGGTATTTCTTCATATATTAAACACGAACAGATTGAAGAGTTGAAAGTATTCCATCAAAAAAGATCACTTAAATATTCTTTTTTTCTATAAATTATTAATAATTAAAAAGAAACACATTATTGACAATTAGTTGTAATGACTACTCAGAAGAAAAGTAAAATCCAATCCATTTCATTTTTTCAAACAAAAGTTGAGCATCATGTACTGTATGCAGTTAGAAGAAAAATTTCGATTTACTATACATGATAAATAAAGTAATTATCCATCAATCCAAATGATTTAAACGAACGTTTTATATATATATATATATATATATATATATATATATATCCATATAAGTTATGTAAGAACGTGTAAAAAGCATCCCATATTAAAACACATTTTAATACTAGTAATATAAGACGCATAAGAAATACGCAAATGATCTTTTAATTGAAAAAAAAACACTAATAATAATATTTAATATATATACAATATATATATATATATATATATATATATATATATATATATTATAAACACAGACAAAAACTAACATAAATAAAACATCTTTGAACCATCTAGATTAGCTTTATATGCAAACTGCAAAACACAAATTTCAGGGAGTCAGTATGATTACAATCAATAGGAAGTTTTCACATTTGAAGAGGTGTTCAATGATAGTTATAATGCTCTGTCCACTAAGTATAATCCGATTTACTATGTGATGTAACCTAGGAACTACATTTTTTAGTTACGTCCAAACCATTTTAGTTATTGTTAACGTTTGGTCATCGTATATTCTTTGAATCACAATAAATTATCAATGTAGCTATGATTAGTGAGTTGTTTTTGTCTCTCGACATATTCTAATCCTTCTCATCTTTAGATATTTTACACTGTTATCCAATTTCAAAAATGTATACGTTCTACATGACTGAAAGATTATTTAACAGTTTTCAGTTCATTTGACCATTTTCTTCGGATTGATTTTGTATTCACATACTCGGCTAACTAACTAATCTTTACTAGTTAGATATCAAATTTCATAAATTTATCTACTAAGA